TCTGTTAAGAAGTCAGTTAGCGTCTGCTGATGCCACTTATTCTTTAAGAGAGCATCCATTTACTGTTAGAAGGGGCAGCATAATGCCATGGTTAAAAAGACAGACACTGGAGCCTTCGCCCAGGGTTCAAAGGCCTTTCCTTCCCATCTACAAGCCTCACTTTCCTTATCGGTAAATGGTACCAATGCCTCCTAAGGCTACAGGGATGAAATATGACAGTGCACAAAAAACAATCATTATCTGTTATTTGCACGTGTCCATGTGTATACATACATGACACTGGCAAGAAATTACTCACTTATTATTTCATCCAACCAGTATCACCCACATGCTATGCACTGTTCCACGCGTTGGAAATGAACAGATGAACTACAGCTTAGTCCTTGGAAAATGCACAATATTTGGGCAGATACAGACAAGCAGCAAGACTGCCATGGTAATGTGTTCACAGGTGCTTTGCAGGGATTCCGTGGAACTCAGAGGAATGCAGCTAACTTAGCACTGGGTACATGGGGGCTGGTACATAGAAGGGCTTTGGGGGACTTCCTGGGGAGGTGAGAACAGAGTCCAGCTCAGAAGTGAACTGAAGGAGGAAGGGCACTCCAGGGAGAAACAGCAGCAAACAAGAGACTGTCTTCCAGGGACTGTGAAGAGCTGGAGGGAGGAGGCAAATAGACATGTAGCTGCAGAAGAGACCCTGCCATGTCCATCAAAGCCCCTCAGGGCAATAGACGCCGCAGACAACTTGCAATGAAGCACAAAACTGTGGATGTGAGATTTAACACACTATCCGAGGATGATTCTATGCATTTGTCTATTACAGTCCCTGAATGTCTTCTCTCCAGGTGTAGCCTCTCACAAGCAATTCTGCAAACTCTGAGCATTTGCTAGATTCAGCACACTGGGTGCAGTCTTGCCCACACACGGCTTTGTGTAAAAAACAGGTCATCCAAATTGCAAGGTCAGGGAGGAGCAGGGCCAGAGCCAGATCTTAGAGGAAAAGTTACTTGGTGGCACAGCCAAGAAGTAAACATGTGCCTTGGCTCAGCAGGCCCCCACATCAGGGAGATACTAGAGTGTAACAACCTTCTGCTCATCTGCTTTCTGCACAGTAAGATGATTACGGGGTGGCTGCTATGAGGTGGGGACCTCCGGGGTATCCCGGAGCAAGCCTCTGGGCTCTCCATCTCTCAGCTTTGGATAAGGGTGGCAAACCCAACTGATGGCCCACTGTTGGAAGCAGACCTTTGAAGCCTGCTGTTTTTAGGAGAGTGCCCTGAAAATCAAACCAGAGACCCAAACCCCGTATCACCAGAGCTTGGTTTCCTCATCTGCAGACAGGAAGAAGCAGTGCTACTGACCTTACACAGCTTTGGTAAAGACTAAACCGGACGCCACATGTGAAACTGAGGGGAGTTCTGTGGCGTGGCCAAGCCTGCATGATTAAGAAGTGGCTGAGTTGGATTTGAACCCAGGTGGGTCTGCCTCAAAGCCGGCAGCCCCGTTCTCCCTCGGGAGCAGGGGAGACTCAGTTCCGGACAGGGGCTGGAAGGCTCCTCTTGGGGCAATGCCAGCTCTTCTCAGAGGCCTTAGCTGTGGCAGAATACGGCAGGGTACACAGAGTCATGGCCAAAGAAGAATCCCATTTGCAAGCTCAGACAAGACGGATGAGAAACGGCAACATACAGGGTTGAGGAGCAATGTCAATTCTATGTATACATGTGATGCTGTTCAGCTTATTAATGCCCACAAATGTGTAGCACACTGCAGGTATAGCACACTGCGCTGGCAGCACGGGCTTCCCAGCATGCAAACCGGATGGAGGGTATTGGAATGCCAAGTAGCCCTGCATGGTGCTTTTGGTGGCAAAGCTCATACGGCAAAAGCATGTGTCTCACAAGGAGAAATCAATCATGTAAACAACAGTGGCCCCACTTCATGCACCGGCACATGAAAAATTTGTTTACTAGCATAATAGCTCATTTCACTGTATTCTGGCTCTTAAGGAGTCTTGTAGAAGCACTTTCTTCCTTTCAGTCCATTACGGACCAACTGCCTCTGGGAATTGTTAATTCTAAATTAAAATCATTAACCATCAGAAGTGAAGCCTGTGTGTATACAGATCACAATCTGTAATCAACGAGGCCTCGCCGGTCCCAGACTCGTCTACCTGACTGTGTGCTGGTCAGCTCAGCGGCAGCTCACGCAGAGCCTGCTTACCTTGCCACTGACCTTGCCTTTTGCACCCTAGCAGAATATAAGCTCCAGAATATAAACCGCGTTAGTCAAGGCTATGCTCAGCACCTAGTAGGGTGCTGAGGCTACCAATGGAATACAACAAATGAGTTAATGAGCGACGGAATCATTACCTAAGAACGCGGAAGCCATGAGAGCTCTTGAGACTCAGCTCAGCTCTGCCTCTGACCCTTCCCTCACCCACGACGCACGGCCCAGGAGCAATGGGCTTCTCTCTGACTCTTTGCTGCATTTCTGTAACCACCTGGACTGCTTGTTCGAAAAACACTGGGCTGCCTTTGCTGACTTGGAGGCCTGGTCCTATGTGGGATGTTGAGCTCTCTGATGGCACCATTATATCTTTTTCGTCTTTTTATGCCCAGAGATGAAAGATAAGTGATTACTAGTGCAGCTCTTACAATCAGAGACCTAGGGAAACAGGGTCATCATCCTGAGATAGGGAGCAACCTGGAAATGCTGGAGTCACCCAGGGCCAGAGTATCCTTTGAAAGCCCGACTCTCACACCTGCCCAATTTATTCCTGGGGGTCTGGTTACCGGGACGCTTTCTGTGGATGGCTATTCTATTAGGGGAGCAGCAGGCATCACTCCCTGCTACTTGGGGAGGGGAAGGGCTGCAGGCATCTTCCTTGCCTGGGGGCTGCTGGAACTGAGCTTATTTTATTAAGCCCATATGCATGGGGGAGGGGGCATTCCAAGCAAGCCAAGGCAACCACAGAGGACACCAGTTGGCTGACCTTCTCATCTACCAATGCATTCTGGAACTTCAATGTTATGGACAATTCCAAATACTGTACATTTGTCTATTACAGTCCAGCACTGGTGAAACCACTGTGGAACTGACGTAACATTAGGATATTAAATTTGTCTCTTTTCAGAGATAGCACAAGTTCTTCAGATTCCTCATGGACTAACAGGTACGAGTCACAGACAGTCTTCTGTAGCAGAGCTCTCGTTCTCGAGGCAGCAATGTCAGTGAGGAACTGTGTTATTACAGTTTTACACGTGTGGAAATGAAGCAGGGCAGATGAGGAACAGAACAGGGGACTGAGGACAGTGCAGACCAAGCTTCTCTCCATGAATCTCCAGCATCTCTATAGAAGGCGCACATTGTTACAGAGAAGCTTAGTAAACAGACTTTCACCGCTAGGAAACGTCTAAATTGAGCATGGGAAGGCTGATCTGCCGCCGCTGAAGGCTGGCCCAGCTGAGTGCCTGATTCTTGCACAGAGAGGACTCACCATCCCCCTTCTGCAACCCAGCTTCCCCGGGAAGTAGTGCCTGACCTTGCTTCTGTCTGCATGAGCCCGCTCATTTCTAAAATCCAGCAGGAACTTCAGGGGACCTCAACAAGGAGTCGGTGCATTAAGGAACCCCACTCATACCTCGCCTGATAGCCACTGAGCAGCTCCTGAGACTGCCAGGCTACGTTCAGCTCCGCGTCATTCTCCTAATCTTTAAAGGATTTTGTGAAAACGGAAACAACTTAGGGGTGGTAGGTTCTCATCCTCATTCTGCATCACTGTTTGTGCTTCACCATTTTGTCAGAAAAGTTGCACATTTTTTTCTTTAAAAAAGGATAGCAAGAGCTTTGTTGCATTCTAATGTGTGACTGTGTTATTAAGACTGAGTTTAATATTTCTTTCTGCAGGAAAACATCTCTCATCTTTAGTGGAGGCAATTGAAGGACAAAGTAAATCTAAAACATACTTTGGCCGGGCATGGTGGCTCATGCCTGTAATCCCAGCACTTTGGGAGGCCAAGACAGGCGGATCATGAGGTCAGGAGATCGAGACCATCCTGGCCAACATGGTGTAAACACGTATCTACTAAAATAAAAAAAAAATTAGCCGGGTGTGGTGGCTACACCTGTAATCCCAGCTACTCGGGAGGCTGAGGCAGGAGAATCGCTTCAACCCATGGACCTTCAAGAGACAGGGGCTGCAGTGAGATGAGATTGTGCCACTGCACTCCAGCCTGGGCGACACAGTAAGATCTTGTCTCAAAAAAGAAAAAGAAATGTACTTTGGAGGTGGCTTTTTTTTTTTTGAGATGGAGTCTCGCTCTGTTACCACCCAGGCTGAAGTGCAGTGGTGCGATCTCAGCTCACTATAACCTCTATCTCCTGGGTTCAAGCAATTCTCCAGCCTCAGCCTTTCCAGTAGCTGGGATTACAGGAACCTGCCATCAGGCCTGGCTAACTGTGGTATTTTTAGTAGAGTCAGGGTTTCACCACATTGACCAGGCTGGTCTCAAACTCCTGTCCTCAAGTGATCCGCCTGCCTTGGCTTCCCAAAGTGCCGGAATCACATGCATGAGCCACGGCACCTGGCTGGAGGTGGCTTTTTTTTTTTATTCTGATACTAGGCAAAGGAAGCCAACTTCAAAAGTCCTTTATTGCTTCCAGGTGCTTGTAAGTGGCGTGAAAGAGTTCAAAAGAGCTCCACAGGATATTCTGCTTCCTTCTAAAGACGTTTATGTTTATTAAATGTCAGGTCCTATAGTAACCTGGGTCTCTTTAACAAATGGTAGCTACTGTATTTTTGTTTCTATTAAGCAAGTCAGGTTATTTACGTCTCAGGAATAAGTTAAGTGCCCAGCTGGTAGAGGCCAGTCACACAAGCCAATATTACTCTCCCTCCACCAAGTCCCCAGGTACTCCAGTTCTGGGTGCCACCCCTTCCCTCATCACCCCCATCCCGATCCCCACGCTGTTTTGAGCAGCGGCAGATGAGACCACTTTACCTTTCAGCTGTTGGAAGCAGGAGGCACTGCTGTCTGGCTCCAAGGGGTGCCTCAGGACCCCATTGCTGGGCTTGGGCCTCTCGTATTCTCTTTCGGGGAGCATGGCCTGCTGGCTCTCCATGGCGGGGTCTGAATGCAGGGGCAGGGACTGTGGAAACCCGAACATCAAGAGGGAAGAGAAGAAGAGTAAGGCACCGCAGAGCAGAAAGCCACCCCACCAGGCTCCGATCCAGCGGGGGTCGTCCGGCGTGATGTCCAGGTTACCTGCAAATGGAAAGAGCACAGTTTAGTGGGAGAGCAGGAGGCGGGACCACTGGGGATTTTGCTGAGAATCAGAGTCAGCTGAACAGAGAAGGCCAGGGCTCTAGAAATGGCTTAGTGTCAGGAAGCCCGGCTGCCAGGCTACACAGCCGACTGTTCCACATCAGCCCTTCTGTTTCCCGCAAAGCTGAAGACCGATCACATTCCCTCCTCAATTTTCTTGTCTGCCCCGTGTTTGTATCAGTCTAAACAAAAACAGCGAGAAGCCAGACATTCTCCGAATTCAGGCTGAAACTGACTGGCTTGGCGGAGCTGCCAAGGTTTACTCACAGAAACACAAGGAGCTGTTTGTTGTTCAGGGGTAAGAGTTTCACCAGGTATATTCACTCCCGGCTTTCAAAAACCGGCTTATCTGGGATCTCACTCAACACCCCACTTGCTGTCTTAAATTAGGTTCCTAGCTCATAAGGGGAGGCAAAGAATAGGGTTTTAGAGCATGGCTGCCGAAACCAGGCTGCCTGGGTTGAAGTCCTGCCCCTTTCTCTCTGTGTGGCCCTGGGCCAGTGGTACGAATTCTCTGTGCCTCAGTTGACTGATCTGCACAGCACCTGTGATGATGACAGTACTCACTTATTGGGAAGATCAGATGACCACACCAGACATAAGGTCTTCTGAAGAGTGCCTGGCACCTGCTTGGGCACCCAAATGATGGTAGCCCGTTATTTATGGGGAGGGTCCTCTGTTTCCAGGCTACTAGTGGAGAGGTTAATGCCAACCTTGTCGGTGGCCTTTGGTTTGGCGTCAGCTCTCTATTACAAAGCTTTGCTGCTAACTCCTTTGCTTAAAGGTGCTATGCATGTGGTTTGGTGACCTTGTACCATGATTTCTCATTTTGCCAGCTAAGTCACGAGAACGTAAGCTTCAGCTCACCCCTTGGTACAGTTTCTTTCTCTCTCTCTCTTTACAACTGCCTTACAGAGCATAGCTCCCAGGTGAGCTGCTTAGAAATGTCTCTTTGATAATAAACCAGGCACCTGGAACACAGAAGATCTGAGCAATGGCGTATGAGGTAAGACCGGCAGGGCTGCAGGCCTGGACCAGGTGGATGGACAGCTCTGGGAAGAGTAATGGCCACAGACACCAGATGAACACTTCAGCGTTCATAAAATGCTCTCCCTGAAGACTCCTCAGCTAGCATTAATGACAATGCCAGCCATCATTTAATGAGGGTTTCCTCGGTGCCACACATTATGCAGAGCACATTCTTAACTGTTCCAGCCAACCTTCCCTGTAATTCTACAAGGCAGGACTTTCATTATCTCTATTTTATATAGATGGAGAAACTGAGGCTTAGAAAATTAGGTTCCTTGCCCAGGTTCACAGAGCTGAAGAACGGAACACAGGTATACATGCACCCAAGCTCATGCTCTCCCCTTTCTGTTCCCACGCCCCTCTTCAATGTCTAGACTTTGTTTTGGGCTCCCTGTAGGGCCCGAGATCAATGATCGATTCTGCTCTTTGTACAATGGGTCTAAGGCCACCAGCTTTTCCAGTAGGTAGCAAGGGGCCTTTGGAACACTGGTAGTCACTGTCCTGGAGACGCTGGTATACAGCCAGCAGCAATAACAGCACTACAATGGACCAGATGCTTCTGCATAGCTACATGCTGGAAAGGAGACCTGGGGCCAAATCCCAGTTCTGCCACTTACCAGCATGTGATACTGAGCAGGTTACTTACCCTCCTTGAGTCTTAGCTATATCATTTGCAAAATAAAGACAGCTTCAACCCAGAGTGGTTGCAAGGATGACAGGCAATGAACAAGAATCGCCTGATGCATAGTAGGCTGTTTATAGAGAGCAGATCTTGTGATTTTCACTTGTATGTACAAGTTCATACTTGTAAAAGTACATAAATGTACATACCTGTACATTTTCACTTGTACGTATACGTTCATACGTATATAAATGAGAATCTCAAGATAGGGATCTTTTTATAAAGGGTACAGCATGTGACAACACAAGGTGATCTTGAAAGCATCTTTATGGAAATGAGGGAAGAGACAAGGAAGTGAAATTGCCTTTGGCGGCTGCACAGGAATGTTTTCACTCATCACTTACTGTGTTTCTTCACCTGCTGCCAACCAATGCATGAAAACAAGACAGCAAAAGAAAGCTCAAGTGTTTCCCTCCACTGTCTCCAGGCTCCATAAAGGGTGAATTGAAAAGCTGGCAGACGTGAGCAGCTAAAGAGAGAGAAATCCTAGCGGTTGTTTGGGGGAACAGAATTAGAAAAGTCATGTATTAGTTAGGAAGTTAGTGGCTGTTCTATGGGTGAGAAAACCCCAGGGAGAGAGACAGCGATGAGGGAGGTGGCAGTTTGTGTGAACATGTCAACGTGCTCCCTGCAGGTGTGTGTTTGTGTGGGGAAAGCCAACGTTGGCCCGCAGCTTCAAAGATGGGGATGGGCATGTCACCTGTGTCAGAACCAAAGCCCATCTGCCACTAGGCAAGGACAGGAGAAGGGGCCTGCATGCAGGTGGTGGACGGCAGGATTCTGTAGATCCAAGACACTCATCACTGACTGCTTTGGGAAGTATCGATTTTTTTCTCCATTTCAATTATCCAGAGCACTGTGGCAGAGAGAGAAATAACACGTGGAGGGAAACCGCTCAGCTGTGGCACGTGCTGCCCTCGGCAGGGAGGCTTGCTGAGTCTCATCTGGGGAAGACAACTAATGTTTGACCTGTCTGAGAATGTCTTATCTCTGTCCATCTCTGTAACAAATACTTTTTTTTTTTTTTGTTTTGAGGCATAGTCTCGTTCTGTCACCCAGGCTGGAGTGCAGTGGTGTGATCTTGGCTCACCACAACCTCTGCCTCCCGGGTTCAAGCGATTCTCCTGCCTCAGCCTCTTGAGTAGCTGGGATTACAGGTGCCCACCACCATGCCCAGCTAATTATTTTATGAGGCATTTTGGCGACTTATGGTGAAAAATCGCCCTCCACCTGTTGGCAATTTTCTGTCAATGCTTTATGGACACTGTTTCGGAACTAGTGATATTGAGGGGAAGTTGTGTGTGTGGCTGGAAGAGAGTGGTGTGGTAGGCATTATCAGTGTTTGCACTGGAAACTCCTCTTCTGAGGACAAAGAAGACGATACCTCCGTCACTCTGTGAAGTTAGGTGTAACCATAAGCCACAGAGTTTTGCCTATGGAATGTGAGTGAGGGGGCATGTGTCATTGCTGGGTGGAAGTGTGTATGAGCTAGTGTACAGCTCCGCCCTCTCATTCCACAGTATGGAGCCTGACACATGGTATCTGACATGCTGCAGTAAATGAAATGTTCCTGTTGACCTGCGCTGCATCTAGCTCAAAGAAGAAAGAACACTTTACTATTCTAAGCTGCAGAGATTTGGGAACTGGTTGTTACTACAGCATAACCTAGCCTTTCCGGACTACAACAAAAAGTTTAGGAAATAAAAACCCACGTTCTATAAGAACAGGAGTCTCAGGTAGGCTTGGCATAGCAAAAGTATTGTTTTAGACGAAGGTAGGGAGGAAGGCTTAAAGACCTCTTCACTTCTCTGGTTCCAGCATCGTAACTTTAAAAAGTGGCTGCAGTTTCAGCCTTCTGGCAAGGGCTGCCTTCAGTAAGAAGCCCAGAACAAAACCAAAAGCACCAATCTGTCTCAGTTACTTAGATGCATTCAATTGCCAACAAAACTAGGCACATGGATGAAGAAAGATGTTGAATAAATGAGGCAGAGACAGCATCCCAGGCTGCGGGAACAGGCTGAGCCAAGGTGTGGTATACTAAGGGACTCGAAGTGAATACGCTCAGTTCCCTCATCAAGCCACGAATCTACCCCGTGGTCACTCCAGACACGAGAAAATATGCCATTTCATTGGGAGAGGAGTCTGGTAAAGGGAAGGGAAAAAAGGGAAGCAGAGTAGAGCAAAGAGAGCCATCTGCTGGGTGGACCATGAAATGTCTATGCACGTCTTGGGCTTGTCCTGACGTGTAGGTGTCAACAGGTATAGAAAGTTTCTCTCCTTTACAAGATCCTTCCTTTCCTTCCTTCCCCTCCTTCCTTCCCTCCTTCCTTAGAGACAGAAGGTTTCTCTCCTTTACAAGATTCTTCCTTCCTCCCTTTTTCCTTCCTTCATTCCATTAATCCTCCTTCTCTCTCTTCCTCCCTTCGTTCCCTTCCTTCCCTTTCTTTCCTTCTTTATCTCTCTCCCCTTCTCTCTCTCTCTCTCTCTTTCTCAACAGAGTTTCACTCTGTCACTGACGCTGGACTGCATGGCACAATCTCAGCTCACTGCAACCTCCAACTGCTGAGTTGAAGCAATTCTCTGGCCTCAGCCTCCTGAATAGCTGGGATTGCAGGTGCCCACCATTATGCCCAGTTAATTTTTTGTATTTTTAGTAGAGACAGGGTTTCACTATGTTGGCCGGGCTGGCCTTGGAATTCCTGACCTCAGGAGATCCACCTGCCTCGGCCTCCCAAAGTGCTGGGATTACAGGCGTGAGCCACTGTGCCTGGCCTTGCAAGATCCATTTTTATAACTCTTCCGCTCTTTGGATCTGACTTTGGGTTGTCCTAGTTTGTTGCTTGTATTGAGTAAGTTGAGAGCTGTTTGCTCCCTCTGCCAAACGTCAACTGAACTACGGGGCTCACTGAGATTTCTACCTATTTCCAAGGTCAAATGAAAAGTCACTGGGAAAAGAGTTAAACCAGTTTAAAACTAGCCAATCGAGCCACCCACACACTCAAGAGGATACCTGAGACTGTGAAGATCAGATCAAAGCAAATGGGGGACATTCACTTCTCACTCCCGGGCTGTACGGACATTACTATGTCTTTCTGGAGATTTTATTATTTTTTTTGGTAGTTCATTTACCTATTTGTTTAACCTCTTTTGCTATGGGACTCAAGAATTCCAAGAGTATCATTAAGTTACAAACCTAATTAGAAAAGAGAAAGCGGAAGGAGCTAAGGCTGGAGGGTGGCATTGAACACCTAGAATCCCAGCCACTGGCCTCACTAGTCCAAGATGAAGGAATCTGGCAGCAGCAGCCGGCCCTCAGGATGGCAGAGCAGGAGGCTCTCAGTCTGCTGACCTTTTTTGTGAAGCAAACAGATGGCCGCATCTTGTTCCAGCTGCAAACGCCAAGCAGCCGTCTGCGAGGGCCTCAGGACGAGTCTGCACCAATGTGCAGGCGAGGCCAGGGCACCTCAGCGAGGCCTCTGTCCATGGAAGGGAGCTGCCTTCTGGCTAAATTCCTGGAGCTGTTTCAGGAAAGCCAGCTGTTCTGTTAAGAGTGGGGCTTTGAGGTCAGTCAGGCCTGGGGATGAATCCTTGCTCTATCCCTCGCTGCGGAAGCTGTTAACCTCTCCGATTTCTCACTGCATGTCTGGATTGCGTGCTTACTATATGCCAGGCTGTGCTAAACGCTTGCATGAGTAACTCCGGCCATCCACACACAGACTCAGGATGTGTGTGCAGTGTCACTGCAGGGATCACAGAACTCGTAAGGGGTGTGGTCAGGATGCACATGGAGTCTGATTCCAGTGCTTGAATTCTTAACCACGGTATGATAATGACTTGTACTCCCATGAGCATGCGCTGAGGCTCCAATGAGGCAATCTTTGGATCGCTTTAATAAGGGGCCCAGTCATGGCTGCTGTTATTTTAATCCCCTTCTTGTGCTAAACCCCCATCGTTAAGGTGAACAAGTCAGTGATTCGAGATATCCTCTGCTACCAATTCCTTCTTTTATTCAAGATTCTGTTCCTACCTGGGTTTCAGTTTAACAAAGAAAACCTAAAAAAGAAGTTCTGGAGGCACTGTCATTTCCTCCCCCACCTCTGAGGGGAGGGATTCAGTCTCCTGGAGCCAAGGACCAATGGGAACCACGTAGGGATCCAATGCGGATGAGAGCCAGCAGCAGCAGAAGCCCACGTCTAAGCGGAGCCAGCTGGGACCTCCGGGCAAGGGTCCCACCGGGGCTCTCACCCCAGAGCTGGCCCATGTCTGCAACCAACCCTCCCTGGCAGCCCCAGCTGCATCTCCTCACAAGTTTCAACCAGGCTTCCTCACTGGAGTCTCCTATCCATGCCGGCACCAGGCTATGTAATGGACACCACCCTCCCACCTCCAACTGCCCTAACCAGGCTTTCTGTGGACCTGTCTTGCCACCTCTCCACAAATTTCGGGCTGCTGCTCTCCCTGGACCCCAGTCTCGGTTGGGACTTCAGAAACATGTGGCCATGCATGTGGCTCTTGCATGTTCATGCCTACAGCAAGGTTCCCATTCACTGGTCAGCCCTCCAGAAGGGCTCTGTTTTAAGAAAGCAAGGAAAAGATAGGGGAGGCCCTAGAGAAATCAAGAATACCCTCCCCAAATACAGCCCAAACCCACCTACGGGCGGCAAGTTTCAGTCACAAGATTAGAAACGGTAAAAACTGGTGGAGACGACAGCGCTCTGCGGCTGACTCCCTAACAGGATAAATGGTATTCTTCTGTCCTCTAGTGGTCAAAGCAGCACCAACTCTCACGGTGCTTTCGGGAAGGACCCAAAGATCCTGAGGATGCACCTTGTGATCTTTAGAAACAGAAAGGAAAGTCCGCTGTCAACTTGGTGGGGAAGGCTGCCCTCAGCAAGATGCCCAGACGGGACTGAAAAGAGCCCATCCACCTTACATCCCTGCAGGCATCAAGCAGCCAAAGAGCCTGGAACCACGGGTCACACTGCTCCAGCCTGGGCCTTAACAGGCAAACAGAGATGCTGAACACAGCAAGTTGGGAAGAGCATTCCAGGCTGAAGGAGCAGCCTCAGCAGATGGAGGGAAGTGGGAGTGGATGGGCTAAGCCCCCTCCAGCCATCTGTCTACCCACTGGCCATTGCAGGCACTAAGAAAAGATGCCGTTTCATTCTCACAAGAGAGTTTGGTGAGTGAGAGGTTGAAGTGGAAATAACCACAGGTGGGCTCAGGAGATCTGGGTTTTACAGAGATACTTTTCTTGGATTGGGGACATCCATTCCCCTCTCTGTGACTCAGTTTCCTCATTTGTAAAATGAAAGTGTTGTAAAGAATGCTGTCTGAGGCTCTCTGCAGCTCTGACATTCTGATCATTCACAGGCTTTCGGTTCCAGGCCACCACTGATACCACTGCAGGCAAAATATGCCACCTGGCCACTCTGCTACCCTTCAAAGTGGCTTCTTCATTGCAGCAGGAGTATGCCTCCTCTCTGTCCCCTCTGCCAGCCCTGTCTGGTGCTGCCTTGGGTGCAGCAGAGGAAGCTGGCCTATCTGTAGGAGCAAGACGGAAACTGACTCACTTCATGTGTCCCGTCTCTTCCCTGCCCACCCCTTACCGCACTCTGTAGGAACTGGGTTCAAAGGGCCAGCCAACTGCTGCAGCACAGCAGCGATCAATCACCTACCGAACAGACTCAGCACTTTAAAAGTATAAATATATAGGGCTGCCTCTGATTTTTTTTTCCCCACTTGGAACTTTGTAACATCATTAGCTACAAGTAACTATATCAGTGGGATTAATGGAGTGAATCACAGAGCAACTTGATTGGATTTAAAACCACATTATTTCTTTGGGGTAAATTAGTAAATTTAGCACTGTCAAGAGATGATGGATTGAGAACCTGGGACTGAGAGTTCTTATTGATCCTGAGGTTAGATCGGCATGAGAAGCAAAGGCTGGAATGGCTTCTCGCCCTCTGTTTTCAGAGAGAAAGGTAACATGGCTTTGCTACATGCTAAGCTACAAGGAAATACAGTGATCCATTTCAGATGCAAAGCAGAGATGTGACAGCACATGGCAGGCAATGACCCAGATGGTCCCCTGAAATCCCTGCCCCGTGTTCCGGTGCTTGTGTAATAATCTCTTCTCTTTTGATACCAAACCTGAGCAAGTGACTGGCTTCTAACAAACAAAACACAGCAGAAGTAATGAGACGTTGCTTCTGAGATTAGGTTATAAAAAGGCTGTGGCTCCTGCCTCAGGTGCTCTCTCTCACCTTCTCTTGGGTTATTTGCGTCAGGGGTGTCACTGTGAGATCTCCCCCTCCTGCGGGCCCATGGCAGTGAACATGGAAGTGGATCCTCCCCAAGAGGAGCCTTGGGATGCCCCAAGACCACGCTGCCACCTGTCAACACCTTGACTGCAGCCTCATGAGAGGTTACAACTGCCCAGTGAAGCTACAGATGCCCAGGAAAGCTGCTTCTATATTCCAGACCCACCGAAAAAAAAACACAAAAAACTGTGTGATAAAAAATGTCTGCTGTTTTAGATCATTATGGTTTGGGTTTTTCTGTTTTTGTTTTTTTTTTTGACAGACTCTCGCTCTGTCACCCAGGCTGGAGTGCAATGGCGCAATTTCGGCTCACTGCAACCTCCACTTCCCAGGTTCAAGCAATTCTCCTGCCTCAGCCTCCCGAGTAGTTGGTAGTACAGGTGCCCACCACCATGCCCAGCTATTTATTTTTTTGTATTTTTAGTAGAGACGGGGTTTCACCATGTTGGTCAGGCTGGTCTCAAACTCCTGATCATGTGATCTACCACCTGCTTTGGCCTCCAAAGTACCGGGATTATAGGCGTGAGCCACCATGCCTGGCTAGCTTGGGGTCGTTTCTTACGCAGAAACAGAAAACTAATACCCCACGTGCCTTGCTTTGACAAATGAAACACTGCATGCCACTTCCGAGTAGAGGCTTCAAGGGCCAAAGTGAAAGTGGTTTCCTGAGTTGGTACCTGTGCAAGCTGGGGTCAGGATGGAACATCTGTGAGCCTGGGCCCGGGGGGCTGAGAATGCTTATGGATCCTGAGACTAGATCAGTAGGTGACCACGATGAGCCAAGTCTCCCCGCCCCTGACACTGCTGACCTACACCGGACATGTAGCGTGAGCAAGAAATAAGCCTTACTTGTATAAAATCACTGAGGTTTGGGGACTGCCTGTCACCACGGCATATCCTAGCCCACCGATCTGGCATCCCATCCAATCCCACAACCATGGATTGGGGAGCTCAGAGTGTTCTGGGAAATGTACTCACACTTCCTACTAGAAGCCAAGTTTCGCTTACAGTGGTTTTGAATGTGGACATTTCCTCATAAACGGCACCACAACAGTGTCTTCTAAAAGGATTTTCCAATATTCTGTCTCACTGACCCGGTTCGTACACCTGCACTTCCAGAACACAAGCTCCGGCTTTTAGTTTGGAAAGCAGGATCCTCACAGAGGCTAACGGGCCCCCACTCAATGAGCATGTGCTGCGCGTTTCTACACAGACGCTCTCATTAAATTCTTATCTGCCAGGCAGATATAATTATTGTTACCCTTTACTTACGGATAAGGAAAATATAGATTTGAGGAGTAAAATCAGTTATTGGGGGTTATTCAGCCTCTAGGGAGATGCTGGCAGAACTCAGACTTGAGTCAACCCTCTGAACCAACACTCATGTCCTTTGATCTAATCTCAGGCAATCCCCAGCTCCAGGCAGGGGCATCAAGACTGTCTCTTAGCAAGAAGGATTTAGAACCCATAGGCTGAAGCTGCATTTATGAGGGAGGAATGCTTGTGGATAGAAGGTAGACATCAACATGTATTCCTTACTTGTGTCAATGAAGACTGCATCCACATAGATTTTGGTACAGAAAGAGCCCAGGATAAACCCGCAGGCTGGTCCGAATACCAGCATCGTGAACAGGATTCCTGAAAGAAGATGATGAAAAAAAATAGATTACAAAACAGAGGCTATGCAATGAGCAACATCACCAAATGTCAACGAGATTATTTTACACTAATGAGACAAGCTGTCTGCTTTTACAGATGACACTGGAGGAATTAATCTAAAAATCCTAGAAGGGAAAGCACATATTTCTAATTTTTGGAAACTCTATGAAAGCACTGTATATTATGCTACAATTCTATAGTATTTTGGGAGGTTGCTTTGAAATTTGTGCCCCTTACTTTTAGAGGACTTCACCCCACATCAAACATATTAAAATACATCCACATCTATCATCAAATATTTTTTCTGCCATCCACAGTTTTGAAAAGACGTTTATAATTTTGCTTTTACATTCATTTGGCTTTATATAACTCATTTAATTTATAGTTGGCTAAGGTCCCTTGGCATCCATTGCGTAAACTCAGGAATTTTTGTGAAGTGAGGATAATCTATGCTGCAAATTATTTTTAAATATAATAAAACGTATGAGTCTGAAATTTAGCAAATAACGAAGTTCACACAGTGGTAAATATCTAACATGTAATTACATATTTATTAACTTCAGTTCTTCAATGTCTCTGCATGTTTTAAAGTTGTTATCCGTTTTCATTGTTGTTGTGGCTGTAACAGCTGTTCAGGAATTAAGCGTTTCTGTAGGACCTGAGGAGATGCCAGGCTCTGGACAGTGCTTAAGCATCTGATGGATATAATACGTGGTCTTTCACACAGACATTTTGGGACACTCGGAAACAAGTACTGATCCCAAACTCAAACTCACAGGCTGTATCTATTTCTATTTCAATTTGGTAGACATTTCGGGAGCCCTGACAGCTCTCCAGACACTGGAGGTAAAAACAGTAGTAAAGAAGGGCCCATCCCTTTAGAAGCTGGCCATCTGATGAGACCAGTCCATGCATGGCTAACTCCAACCCAGGCAGCTCCAAGGGTGGGTGCTAACCGGCCACACGGGCACCTGAGGGACAGGGTGAGAGACGACTTTCACTGCAGGGAACCTAAGCCCAGCGGAGGGTAGCTCTCCAGCCTAGCCTGTTCATAGGGGTAGACCAACTCAGCCTCAATTATATCAATGATGTCATCATGGAACCAATCACATATTCCTCCATTCAATCAAGGTTCACTGAGCTCCTTCTATGTGCCGAGGACTATTCTCAGGGTTGGGGATTCAGCATTGAACCAAACAGTAAAAAATCCTGGCCTCGCTGACTTGAAGCTTTCCCTCCTCCCAGCTCACTGACCTGCAGTGGGGAAAAACAATTTAAACTACACAGTGGAAGGCAAATGGTTTTTCAGTACTGGGCAAAGGAAGCCACGTGATACAGTTTGCATGTTTGTCCCCTCCAAATCTCATGTTGAAATGTAATCCAGAATGCTGGAGGCAGGGCCTAGTGGGAGGTATTAAACTGTGGGGGCAGACCCCTCACAAATGGCTCAGCACCGCTGCCTTGGCCATAAGTGCATTCTCACTCAGTTCACACCAGGTCCGATTACTTACAGGAGCCTGGGACCTCCCCTTCTCCCTCTTGCTCAGGCTTTCGCCAGGGATCCCCCTTTGCCTCCTGCCATGACTGGAAGCTTCCTGAGACCCTCACCAGAAGCAGATGCCAGCACATGCCTCCCGAACCGTCTGCAAAACCATGAGCCACTTGAATCTCCTTTCTTTATAAATTACCCAGCCTCAGATGTTTCTTTCTACCTGAACGAACTAACACACATTTACAGACAGGAACCCAGAACCCCCAAGCAATCACTTGAAGAGGGCTTATAGGATATGTTTGACCAAGGAAAGAATGAAGAAAATACGGTTTATATCACAGAAACAGGGCTGAGACCACCCTCAGCAAAATCCTACTCGGACACAAAGAAATCTGGAAGTTCAACTGTTTCCAAATAGTCACTCCGCGGCCAACCAGAAACTGCAGAATTTTATTTCTGTTAATATGCCACATTAAAAAAAAATGAAAACGTGTCACTTTGGAGAGGGCTGACATTCACATGATTAGCACATTACCTCTGGTTTATCCTAATTTAGATTAAGATAACCAAGCACGCAAAGTTGGGGGCAGGGGATGTTACTGGAAAAGATCTTTTGGGGATGGACTAGAATTTGGGGGCTGTCCTTAGTGGGGCTGTGGTTAGGGAAAAGAGCAGCAGGCAGAGGAGCTGGGAAAGCAGCAGGAGGCAGGGCACAGAGAGCAGCTGTCCAAGTCAGGAGCGGTAGCCATGCTAGACCTGAGAGTCCCGGAGTCCCCTCCTCTCCAGGCTGCAGACAGTAGGAAGCCATCAGTCAGAGCTACGGGCACTCTAAAGTTGGCTCAGCAAGCAAACTCACTGCTCAGGCCTTCCCAAAAGAATGGGACGCAGAGTGCAGGAACATAAGGGTGCTGTGCCTACCCTTTTGACTCATCATCTGCTGCGACTCCCAGCACCTCCCCCATCACCCATCATCATAGGCCTTCTTCTCTTAAAATTAAATACATCCCCCAAGCAATATATTCATCACTGATCCACGCCCTACAGAGTGAACAGTGAGAATTATGATGAACACTTAAAAGGCCAATGGACCGAGCCTTCGGTATCCTTAGAAAAATAAAAACAAGCAGCAAGCTGCATAAGACTGTGCTGTCACCCCCATGCTTGGGGACAAAAGCGTTGATGGTGAAATCATAATAATCACAGCCATCACTGACATCACCATTACAGCACAGCTGGGGGGTCCAGGGTCCCAGGCCTCCTGCCCTCTGGCAGAGAAGGTGGGCTGTCCCTCAAGCTGCAGACCTCGGCTGTCCACAGGAGCACCACAGGGCCCATATGGGCTGGTGAGCGGGGCTGGTGGCTTGAACAGGGAACAGCAGCGGCCTGCGGTGGAGATGCCACTCCCGGAGGCATCCTCTCCACCAAGTTCCTCTATGAGAGCACGTGGCTTTCCAGAGTTTGGACTGTGGCTTTTTCAAGGTCCTGTTCTCATCTGGTTTCAGCTGAACAAAGATAACCCAAAAAAGAACAGGATGGAATTGACAGGACCCCCTGCCAAACACCAGAGACACTGCGTGCTCATATTTTTGTACGAACGGCATCTTCCTCCTCAGGTGCTGCCTCTGGCCACTTTTCTATGTCACTCCTCCTCACAGAGACCTGAAGGTAAACCTCCAGCTGCCACGCATTCTCGATTATTTTTCCAAGGACGGTACGGTGGTGGGACTGTGGGAGGGCTCTTCATGCATCGGAAAGCGCCTTCAGAAATATCTCAGGACAACAAGTGAAATGAGCAGCTTCAGCAGTCACAGGTGTGCGAGGCAGGTTCTGGGCTCACAGGACGGTTACACTGAGCGTGCTTCCTTAGGTTCCCTCCTGCCAGGCTGTGATTTTGTTCTTATTTTAGCAAAGCCGCCTCGAATGCTCTGCCTCAAGGGAGGAGTGCCAGGCACAGAAACGTGGGATTCCCGTGGAATGAAGGGCCAGCGCCCCCAGGTGCCGCCCCCTGCCATCTTCCAGGTTCATGTACATCGGTAGGGACCCCATACAATAGAAAGCGCTTTACATGCCTAATCTGCTGGAAGCTGGTGACTCGCCCCAGGGGCACGTTTACTAGGCCCCTTTCACAAGGGAAAATCAGAATCTCAGAGTGGTTCAGCACCTGGCCCCAGGCATCGCTAGAAAGCCTGAAGGAGTGGACGCTGCGGTTTCCTAACTCCCTAAGGGAAAAGTCCGGGTAAGAGAATAAACAGCCTGGGTGCAAATCCCAGCTCTACGGCTTCCCGGCTCCGTAAACCTTTGCGCAAGGTATATTTAACCTCCCATGCCTCAGTTTCTTCTTCTGTAAAGTGGGAGCACTATTAGGTTAACTTCATGCAGTAGTGGTGAGGACTGAATGACCTCCTGCCTGAAAACTTCTTAGAACAGTGTCTGGGGCACAGAAAGACCCAGGGAAGGGTTTGCAAAATAGATGACACCTGTGTCTCTCCTGCAACAGTGAGGGCTGGCACTCACCTGGCTTCTCAGCCCTTCTCTTTCCAAAGTCACCACGCCCTCCATACCTCATTTCCTAAAGCTATCTTTGAGCGAGAGAAGCTGGAGCTGGGAACAGGTCTCCCTGAGGCTTGGGAGCCCCTGAGCTAGAGATGATGCCTTATTCTTCTTTATATTCCTATTTCGCCCCAGTGCTGATGGACAGTAAGTTCGTCCTTTGTTGAAAGGGTGTGTGGATGAGCGCACTAGTCACAGCGGCCGTGCAGAGGAAGTAGTGAGAGACTCTTTTTGGCAATGGCCTGCCCAAGCTCACCTGGCCACCTGGGGGCAGAGCTGGGACTCAGACCCAAATCTCCTCTTTCCCTCACCAGCGCTTTTTCCCCAAGCCCTTCTGCGGATGTCTCTGTGCTATGGACTCTCCTATTCAATGTACCTCCTTCTAATGCAATCCGACTGGGGCTTACTAAGGCTACATAAAGGGTCAGGCCAGGTGCATGTAACCACAAGAATTTGGAACATATAACTGGAAACTTGGAATATTCTGATCCAGAAAGAATTATTTAGCTTTAATACTATTACTGATATAATAAAAGTACTAGGGGACATTTTGCTGATTCTAAATAGTTTATAAAAATGGACCAAGACCACTCTAGACACGTGTGAAGCAGCACACCCGCTGCCAAGACTGTCCCTATTGGGTGTCAGGACTTCTTTTAAAGCCAAGGTGCTTTTGGCGCAAGAAACAACAAATACAGCAATGAAGCAAAAGAGACAGCCCAATAACAGCCCCTTACGGACACTGGCTTTATAACAAAGCGCGCATTGCACAACGGTGGAGAAAGAATGGTCTTTGCCATAAAGGGTGCTAAGACAATTTGCAACTCCAGGGGGGAGAATGAGCCTCACCTCACGACAAAAACCAATTCCAGGTGAATCAGAGACCTTAAATGCGAAAAGGAAAATATAAAAGCTTCTAGAAAATGACGGAGTAAAC